TAAGTTTTGGTGTCTCTACGAATTTTATAAAATGTACTATTTTTAGTACAAAAGGGTAAATCCAATCCATTAATTATAGCATCCTAAAGTTCTTAAGTGAGTCAAATTTGAAGTGAAATTTTGTATCAATATAAGGTTAAAAAAGTTAATCAATCTAATCAACAAATGAAAAGACTTCATGTTGCAATGCCAATTGTTTCTGGTGACTATGATAAATATAAAAAAGGTTGTAAAATTGATAATGCTAATGAAGAGAATTTGATATCAAGTGATTATAATGATAGTAATGGTAATGAATTAACAAATGATAGTATTGAAGAAAATAAAGATCAATTAAATGCAACTATTTCTCAATTGATTGAAAAAATCAATCATGAAAATCATGTTAAAAATAGTGAAGATAAATTATTACTTAATGGTGATTTAGATCAGTAGAAGCACATAATATTCATTCTGCAAATGACCCAAATGCAAAATAGGAATTATTGTATCCTTTTGTTAATAGTTTGGAACCACTAGCATATATTGAATTTATAAGTAATCAATAAATAATACAATCGCTTATAATAAATTAAAGAAAGGTTAGTAAATATGAATTAATAATTTCTAAATACTTAATATTTATATGTATTAAACTAATATGAATTTTTAATTTATTATATATAAAAACATTTGACTACTTTAAAGTTTTGACAAGCAAAAATAAATTTTGGTTGCTTGTTTTGTTTTTAGAGTACGAATAGCTTTTTCAAAAATTAGGTCACGGTTTTTTTATTTTCATATTTGCAATATATTATCATTATGTTAGTAATATATAATTATTAAAATAAAGTATACAATATTACATAAATTTACAAGAATTGTATACATAGCATTAATATTTGTTAGTACATATCTATGAGATCATTTGGGCGTAGTGCTACAGAAAAGAGGGAAAATGACAATTTTTCAAAAATTTTTTTTTAAGCTTAATTGATTTGAAATCAAATTGCGAATAAATTTGATTTATTAAAGAAGCACTATTATCTTAATAAAATTTTGTAATAAATCAAAAATAAGATAAAAAATAGTTTTGATCGAACAAGAGCTTGTGTAACATTCCGATGTAGATCGGATATGATTTTCGGAATTTATTGGAATTGTTGATCAGCCAATCAGATTGTAAATTTAATAGAAATTAAATTTATAATACACTTCGTTCTTGCAATTTTTTTTTTTATTCTATTTTTTGATAGAATAAGATATGTGTCATGCAAATATGAAATATAATTTTTTGTATCAAATTTTGAAACATAATCAAAGTTACAAACTAAATTAACACGAGAAACAGACACGATGAACAAAGTATTTTAAAGGTTAAATTAATATTGATAAAGAAAAATTAGATAAGAATTGAAATAGTCTCTTAAATATCTTAATTAACAGATAATTGTTATATTATGCTTACAGACTAGGGATGTGGGAAATCCGATCTGGTCCTGACTCGACTCCAAAAGTTGAATCTTAAAGTTCAGCCCCAACCCGGACTTGGGATTTTGACTTGTATCTGCAAAGTGCATCTATTGGGCGAACGACATACCATGTAAATCAAAACTATATGTGGTATCATATAAGAACTTAATATCTAAAATTTATATAGAATACTATTTTATAACTTTTCGCGAAATTTAAATAGATGCACACTTCTAACGATTTAATATTTGAGGTCCAAATTTTGCAAAGACCAATATTATAGTTTTATATGCAAAGTTACAAAGTCATTTTTCTCATTTAAATATAAAACAAAAGATTTAGTTCAGCTAAATTTTTAAATTCTTCAAGTTTAAAATAAATGGCTTCGTAACTTCGTTTGTAAGGCTATAATATTGATCTTTGCAAAACTTGGTCTTAAAATATTAAACCGTTAGGGCTGTGCATCTGTTTAATTTTCGCGAAAAATTACAAGTAAAATATTCCAATTAAATTTTTGGATATCAAGGTTTTAAATAATACCACATATAGTTTTGATTTATATAGAATATTGCGCACCCAGTGCACATAGTATGTTTAGATATAGAATTAAAAACGTGAATGCATGCATCTTTCATGCTATATCTAAATATACTAGTTAATTCTTTATTTTCGAAAAAAGTACTATTCCTATTTAAAATTCTAAATTAGAAAATGAAATAAGAGGTCTGATCATTAATTATGAATCACCCTTAGAGATGTGCAGCGTACAGTACTATACGCTATGTACTGTACGTACTGTACGCGAAAATTTTTGCCGATCCTTGCTACCAGCCAATCAAATCGCCAAATACACACTATACGTTGTAGAAGGGTAGTTTGACCCTAATATCACCAAATAATACAATATCCAACTCAATACTACTAAAATAACCTCTTAGCAAGACCTAAAATCCCCGAATTGGTAGGCTTCGATCGAGGCGTAGTTATATTTGGTCCGAGTTGGAGACTTTGGTCTTGCGGGTTGCTACTAGGACTTCGATAAGTATCTTTTTACTTTAAGCAAGTATTTCTTGTGCGAAATATGATGCCTTTTATTAATCTTTGCTATATTTTCTCGTTATTACTAGTATACTGCTTATTTTTAGGTCACGGGATCATGTGATTATTTCAGCATCAGTGGATGCTGAAATACGATTACGTAGTTACGATCAAAATCGAATTACGTATGTATTGCTTAACAATGGGATCAATCACAAATGCAATCACTTCAAATTTTTATATAAATAGGGGTCGATTACTAATAGGATCTCTTTCCTTTACTTCGAACGAAATAACGAAATTAGGTCTAACAAGAATCACGGGGACAATAAACAACTAAAGGGCACAGGAGAACTACTACTATGGTTTGCTTAGTAGTTTCGAACTCAAGAGGAACTCAAGGGGAGTTTAGAACTCAATGGAGTTATCTTTATTTTGCGAGAACTATCAAGTCTTTATATACATTTTCTGTCATATCTGCTCTATATGACCTATCCGACATATCTGCCATATATGCCATATCTGGCATATTTGTCATATTTGTCATATTTGTCATATTTGGCAGATTTTCCTAACTATTTTTAGGGAAATCGACCCGAACTACTTCAGCGACGATCTTAGACTAATTTTTCACTTTTACAACGTACAGTACGTACAGTACGTACTGTACACGAAAAAAATTCGGATATCATATAAATGACACATCACTAATTACCCTACTAAATGCGAGTTAAAGTCCCAAGTCTAACTTGGGACCGAACTTTAACAAAGATTCAACTTTTGGAGTCGAGATCAGATCGAACTTTTTACATCCTTATTATAGACTAATCAAATAAATGATTGTTATAATTACTGATTGTGGTTGTTCTCAAGCATCTCTCTCAATTAGTGTTTCAACCCGGGTATACCCGGGTGGGTCGGGTATCCGGGTTGTGATTATGATCACCCGGGTAGACTTGGAC